GTATATCTGGCAACTACTTTGAAGGGACAACTACTGGAAATACTTGGACAGTTATCAACAGATAACAGACACAATTATAGAGCACTGGTAGCGGCTCTAGAACTCAGGTACAGAACCCAAAATCAGTCAGAAGTCTACAGGGCTAGGTTTAGGACGAGAGTCCGTGCTAAATGGGAGAGCCTGCAAGAGCTGGCACAGGACTTGGAAAGCATGGCACACAAGGCCTACCCAACTGTACCACCTGATCTCCTCAAGTTGTTGCTGAGGGATCAGTTCGTAGATGCCTTGGACAGTCCACAACTAAAGATACAAGTGAAGCAAGCACACCCCTCTACCATGCAGGATGCAATGGCGGGAGCTCTCGAATTTGAATCCTACGTTAAGTCCAGCACAGAGATACCAAGGTTGGTACAGTTGTCAGGATTCAAGGCCAGAAAAGGGCAGCTTTCAGAGAAGTTTGAGGGACTTTGCTGGCGCTGTAACAAACCTGGGCACAAGAGAGCCCAATGCTGGCAACTTCAACACATGTAAGATGCTACAGTAGGAAAGGCTGCTACCCAGAAAGGTTGTTGGAACTGTGGAGAGCAGGGACATACGAGGAGCCAGTGTAAGAAGAATACCACCAATAAGTCAGCTTCGGGAAACCAGTAGTGGTTGGTACTAAGGGATGCCTACCAACCCCTATCGTGAAAGTCCCAACAGCTAAGTGTAAAATGGCAAGCACACATAGTGTCTACGTGACAGGGAAGCTGGATGGCCAAAGGTGCAACTTTGTCATAGATTCTGCTTCTCAGCAAACACTTGTGAGTATCAAGGTGTTGAATAACAAAGGCATAACAGAAGCTGTACAGAAGCTCTGTGGTGTGACAGGACATTATGCAAGGTTGTGGGGACCAGTGTGGGTAACTATCGAGCTCATGGGCATGAAGAACAGACAGAAAGTATACTTAGCTGACATTGAAGACCAATGCATATTAGGATTGGACTATTTACTACCGAGGAAGTGTGTAGTTAACTTCATTAAAATGACATTTAGAAACAACAAAAACCAGATTCCAGTAAGCGTGGCTGCATCCGTTGATCTACATGTCACAGCATTTAAGTCAACTACAGTACTATGTCAGAGAAGATAATTTGGGGTAGGATAAAAGAGCATCCCCAAGGAAGCCCAATGCTTGTGGAAGCAGTTAAAGACCCATCCAGGCCAGCAGATTTGAAGATTGGAAGGTTACTTGTGGCAGGTCATCAAGTAGTACCTATAACAGTGGCCAATTTCTCTAAATGTGAACAGACACTTAAGGAAGGGACACTGTTGGGCGTGTGCCAGGAGGTACAGTCAGTCAATGTTAAAGCAAGAAATACAACTATAAAGAAAGGACATACACGTCCAGAATATTGTACTGACCTCTATAAGAAGAGCATACGTCTTTTCGAAAGGAGATCATGACCTCGGCTGCACAAACCTTGTGGAGCACAGAATAAACACAGGCAATCACCGTCCAATAAAGATCCCTCCAAGTAGAATAGCTCCAGCAAAGCGACAAGAAATAGAGAAGGTCATGGATGGTCTAATTAAGGAAGGGATAGTCGAGAAATCAGATAGTCCCTGGTCAGCTCCCTTCGTGTTAGTCCAGAAGAAGGATGGGACCCAACATTGCTGTGTGGATTTCAGGGATCTTAACAGTATAACTGAAAAAGACTCATACCCACTGCCAAGAATTGATGATACTCTTGATGCCCTAAGTGGAGCCAGGTGGTTTTCAACTTTGGACTTAAAGTCAGGTTTCCATCAAGTAAAAATGGCTGAATTAGATAGACCCAAGACAGCATTTAGTTATGGCCAAGGCCTTTGGCAATACCGAGTGATGCCATTTGGGCTCAGTAATGCTCCAGCAACGTTTGAGAGGCTGATGGAACGAGTATTGGAAGGCCTACAATGGAGGATAGCCTTAGTGTACCTGGACGATGTCATTGTATTTGCAACAACGTTTGATGAGGATATGTCCCGGCTAGAGGAAGTATTCAAGCGTTTGAAATAGCAAACCTCAAACTCCATCCCAAGAAATGCTACTTGTTCCAAAAAGAGGTGCTTTACTTAGGTCACATCATAAGTGAGCATGATGTGCAAACTGATCCTGACAAGTTGAAAGCAGTGCATGACTGGCCAACACCAGACAATGTGGGAGAGTTGAGAAGTTTCTTGGGACTCTGTACCTATTACCGGAAGTTAGTGAAGGACTTTGCAACTGTATCTGCTCCACTACATGATTTGACTAAAAAAGGCCAGAAGTTTAAATGGACAGTTTCTTGCCAGCATTCTTTCATAACATTGAAAGAAAAATTGGACCTCTGCTCCACTTTTAAAGCTTCCAGATCACTCACTGCCGTACATACTGGATTGTGATG